GAAACATAATGAGCAATTATTATTTTTCTCTTTATTATTTTTTATTTACATTTAAATATCTATTTAGATCGATGAGTTTATTATTTTGCTCGTGTTCATTTAAAGGGACGTATTACTTTTCCCAATTTTCTTTCTATTAAATTTTTGATTCAGTTTTTGCTAGAAATATTATCAAGTTTTTACAGTTCGATTTAATTATACGTCCCATAAATATTAACGTTGTACGCATTGTATATTTCAAGAACTGAAGCAAAGTATAATTTAGAGAACTTAAAATACATTTCGAAAACGTAGTATTGTTTACTCTGACATGATACGAAACAAAATTAATATAAAATGCAAACATAACTCTGGAAAATGCTTATCGTATAAGAAAACTTTTCTTACCTAGACATCTTTATGAGATAATACTTATAATTTTTACCGAAAATACTTTAGGATCACAGTTTTTCATGCAAAGAGAAAAGTATTACTGGATTAAAAGTAGAGATCGAGTGAAAAAAAAACGCTTTATTTTATGATTTATTGATTTATTGAAATTACATACATTTGCTGACTTGTGTGCTCAATATATAGGCTTATAAGTCATTGCCAAATAGTAAATACAGATAGAACAATTCAGAGGAAGACATCACAAAGAATACATCCAGGGTTACGGCGGGATTCGAACCCGCTACCTCCACGCTTAACAGAGCGTTTGGACCGGCGATACCGCTCGGCCAGGGAGGCCCCTTTATTTTATTGTTACATGCAAATAGGAAAGCTTGTGTAGTCATTGAAAAGCCGGCTTATAAGCCCTTTACAAAAAAGGTAGCATGAAGGATAAAGTAGGCAGGCAGCCTTAGTGGTGTGCATCTCGCTTTTATTATAGTTACAAAGTTTAATGCATATTTAAGAATGCTAAAGAAATTAAGCATTTTCACTTTAAAATGTTTTACGCAAGCTCTTTAAGCAAATGTATATACAAGCATTTTGTAATAATTGCATTGTGCTGAATATACTTACGCGAACTTAAAAAAAGCTACGAGAAAGCCTTCTCAATTATCTTGAAGTCTCCATTGCTTCCATTTCACCTAACTTTTTATAACATGGAGGCAGAGGGTTCGATTCTCGTCGCAACTCTGGAGGCATAAACCATTTATCTCTGATTTCTTCCATATTTTCATAGTTTATAAGCAGTTCTTTGTACTGAGAGCCAAAACACTTTATATTTAAACTAATTTATAAATCTGCGTTCTTTTCCGATATAGTGTTGAGGTTGCGGATTCGATTTCCACAATAACTTTAATTTCATCATTCGTTAGATGAAACTCTGCGATACATGTTCGTTAATTTGACGAGGACATATAAGCTGTTCGAATGCCAGCAAATTTGAGCATGTTTCTATGTATATGTTCTATGTATATGCCAGCAAATTTAAGCATGTTTCTATATTCTGTTGTATATGTGAGCAAGTACACATTTGCGTATTTTATTATGGGCAAGGTTCTTCCACTATATGTTCTAAAGCAAACAGATAGTGGGTTCAATTTCCGAAGTAACCCAGTATATATATCTTATTTATTTTCTCATGTCATATTAAGTATATTATACTATGCTGTTGAGGAGACGGTTCTACTTGGTGCTGTCTCTCCTATTGTGCTATCTGTCCTTTTCTACTTGACAAAGGTTCATAAGACTATTTTGAGCACACGAGTCTGAAAATTTATGCAATTGCTATAACCAATACTATACTGTAAATTTACAGAACCGAGTCATATCCGCATTTTGAACCTACAACTCAGCATTTTTATGCTACTTGTCTCTCGAGTGATACTTACTTTTGGCCATTCGATAGATAGTAAAATTAGAATTTTTCTTCGAAAGATTATAACCATTTTTTTGATAGGATGATCTTTTATGCAATTGTAAATAATACCTGAAATCGTCCCCCTTCTTTGAGGGAATACATTTCGCCAAGATATGCGACTGAGGAATTGTTTCCGAAATACTTTTTCACACGGAGTTGAATGAAACCAGTTTAAAGACTATCAGACAAATAAATTAGAAGTTATGAGGGTTTATGTACAAAAAGAATAAATTTGTACTTGGGACTATTTATGCATCGGGTATTGATACTTAAACTAGCAAGACATTTTCTCCTACTTATATTTTAAGCTGTATCAAATGAGATTATGCACTAGTCAGTTGAATAAATAGTTTCTAAGTTGCAAGAGTTTTATAAAAAAAAGTTCTTTTTACACATACTTTTGTATACACTTTTCAAGTTTAAATAGAATCTGGATAGTAATGTAAAGTATATATTCGGAATTTTTTTTCACTTTAAAGAGAATGACACCAAGATATGCAACAGAGGTATTGTTTCCAAAATGCACTTAATTGAATGAGACCGATTTAAAGACTACCAGACTCATAGTTTAAAAGTTATAAGCGATATGTCAGCACAAAAAGTGTAATATTGCACTTACTTGCACGCTGCTATACATAGAAGTGAGGTATATTTTCCTATGTTTATTTTTCCTAGCTTTATCGAATTAGAACAAGCATGAACGAGTAAGGGCTAATATTTGAAAAGTTTTTAATTTCGAATTTCACTTATTATATAGAAAATCCTTAAAAGTTAAGGAATATTTACACTAATCAAGTAAATCTAATGTGTATTATTATTTCAAATTTTCTCATTTAATTCAGTAAAAAAAATTCTCAGAAAAATATATCCTGAAAGCTCCTTATAGCAAAGTAAAAAATAAGATGCTAAAAACAGCACTTTATGCTCGAGAACTCTTACAACTTTTGTAATATTCGCTCTTTTGACTTGCTTAAAGACTCATTTAATACAACGTAAGAAAAAAAAGATATCTAAACAATCTTAGATGAGTAAACTGAAAGTTCAAATTTGAGTATAAATCCCTTATAACTTTTAACTATACGTTAGATTATCTCTCCGTTAATTTCTATCTTCCATTAAGAAAAAGGAAACAACGTCTCTCTTGAATTTATTGAAAAAAATCTAAATTAGCTCATTTTTCTTAAAATAGGGGGAAGCGTGCAAGTTTGGGAGTTTTTAAGAAGCCTCTATAATAACAAATTTTTGTCTAAAAATTATCTTTATTTTTCGAGGAAGCACCCTTTCTTTGCTATAATTACTTGACTAACAGTATACTTTGATTTTTACCTAAGCCTTTCTATATTCGACAAACTTGATCAACTTATAGGCATAACAAATATCATAGTTCAAATGGATTTTTTTAAATTTTCATTTGTATTTTTTTTTTAAGTTTGCATTCTATTCCAAAGTCGCTTTTATAGATTTAACTTTTAAAAGATTTTGAAATTGCATTAATATTCAAACGGTTTAAGTTCAAATGTTTTTTTTATCTGCACAAATGAATATAAGTCAAAATTAACATTTGGACAAACTTATTAGACAAATGTTGATTTTACCAAGTGAACCCATCTCTATGAAATGCACAATACAAATCACTCGACTGTAAAACATTAATAAATTATCCTGTACTGCGTTAAATTCTGTCAATAGGTCACTGTCTAAAACTAGGCCAAAGTGTTCATAATTCAGGGAGATAAAATTAAATTTCGTACCGAAATATATAAAATAGCAACATATAAGTCAGTTCCAAAGTTCTGCTTAGATTTTAATTTCCAAGTCAAACGAACCTTGTTTTTCATTTTCCAGCCATGAATTTTTCCATTATTATATGCAATACGTTTTTTCTACACAAAACAAAGATAAAAGCCTGGAAGACTAAAATTTGTACCACTGAAGATATAGATAAAACTTATTGTTTATAGATATCTAGAATAACTAAAAGTTGATTTAATAATTTTGTTTACTATTTTTATTCTCATCCTTTTGTTCGTTGATGAGAGAAAGTCTATTAATATTAAAATTAGAAAGATCCTAAACTGGAAAAATACTATTTATCAAATTTAGAATTTGTAAAATTTTAAGGGATCTTGTTTATTTAGAATAAAAAATCTAAAACACTAATTTAAAGCATGCTCACATATTTTATAAGGTGCCGATTTTTTGATATAGCTAACACAGGACTAAATTTTACAGACTTTCCCAATAGAAAATTTCGATAAACTTCTGGGCACTAAAACTAGTTTACTTTGCTTAAACTTGTTTAGAGCACGCTAAACTAATAAAAATGCTAAATTAAAATAAGTTTCGTGAAATGAATAATTCAATAGAACTCAAATCCCCGACTCTCTTACCACCTTGCAGGTACTTTAGTCTTTTCAACGTATTTGTTCGAATTAGTTAAGTATTTCAAAGTCTTGTTGCTTCCTCGGCTAGTTAAAAAGAAATTGTAAAACTAATTTGAATATTATAAATAAAACTATAGAGTAGGGAACAAGAAAATTTTATTAACTGTAATTCGTATATTTAGATTAAAAATACTTAGAGCTTTGCTCTGGATATATTAAAATATGTCACTAAGTAAAGTCACACTTGCATCCTTATTCTATTCGTTTAACAAGTGTGTCCACGAATTTGTCAGGAAAATCCAAAAAAAGATGATGTTTACAACCTTTGAATTCAATCATCTCTGCCTTTGGAAAGTGTTTCTTGATGTCTGCCTCCTCGGAACTTCTACATTAAAAAAAAAATTTAAAATATGAATGTACTATATGAAATAGTTAAAATTAAAGAGTAATTAAAACTTTAGGAAGGTTAAGATTTACTGTTAAAGAATTAAAAATTAAGGAACGTTTTATATTTGACTAACGAAGCAATCATGAAACTGGGAAGTTGACTATCAAACTTTCTTATTTTTAAGCCACATGTTTGAACTGAGTTATTTTCTTACGAATTAGTCAACGCCTTGTAAAACAAGCTTGAAAAAGCTGCAGTGGTTTCATCTGTTGAATCGACTTAAGCTCAAAAATGTATTGTGCGTCTACGACAATATTCATGGTTTAATTAGAACTAAAATTAGGAGCAAACTAATTTATGCAGCTAGATTATTAAGTACCACTAATATGTAACAAAACTATTGTCAAAAGTACTAAAATTTGAGTTAAACAGTGGTACTGACTAATTTCCTTAGAAACACAATGGATTCATCCGATATACAAATTTTTTTCCAATCGCATTGCTCAATTCACTGTCTTAGTTTAATTTAAGCCGACCAGCCTGGGTAAGGGGCAGGGAAGTGTCCTTGCATCAGAAAGATTATGGGTTCGAATCCCGGGCAAGGCATGTATATTTCTTTCTCTCTGTGTTCTATGTCCTTTCTCCTTTGTGTGAATGTGACCCGCCCTTTAAACGGGTTGTGGTAGTGTGACGTAGGCGACGCTGCTCCACCGCCGTGGCTTGGCAACAGGTGCCCACTGGGTAACGAAAAGAGAGTTGGCAGTTCTGGCACTTTATGTGGCCAATGGACAGTAGTACCAATTGCCCGCCATTAAAAAAAAAGTTCAATTTAAAAAAATCTTGCAAGAATAATTCTAAGTCTTTAAGAGATTTGTCTAGTTACAGATTTTACAATTTGTATAGTCTAAAATCCCCAAATACAGTGATGACATTAAATTTAACAAGCTAAATTCTATATAGCTTTTGATATTCAAGACCTTGACCCAAGATAAAGATAAAATTTAGGATCGATAAACTCTATTTACATGTTTTTGACCGCTGAATTATATCGTATTGAATGTGCTTAGGCAGAGTAAGGAAGCAGTATAAGTTAGTTTTGCCTAAACTTAACTAGATATACGAATTAGTCAAGTAGATATCAAAATAACGGTTACTTACACATTGAATGGTGATGGGGATCCATAAAGGAAGTAAGCAGGACCATCATATTGTCCACTGTGGACAATGGGAGAGTCCTGGTATTGTTTGAGAGCATCAGCAAGAGCTTCGGCGTTGAAAAGCACATCATGTCCTCCATCTGGTTTTCTTTTGTACATGATCGTCAGGTAAGGTCTGTGTTCAGATTGGAGTTTCTATTGAAAAGAAAATTACCAAGAATTTACAAAATAGATATGTCAGACGTTAAAATTTCTAAATCTTTCAAAGAAATAAACATTTAGCATTAAATATGAAGCAGGTAAGAAAAGCTGAACAGAACTTTATACATTAAATGTGGATTATATTGCTCCAAACGTTGCTACCTAACAGAAGCAAAATTCTGGAAACATTTCCATTATATTACAGTACACTCGCTGTAGAAAGTCTTGTTTAAATTAGGCTGATGAGTTTCAAACTGGCGAGCAGGGCTGGTGAAAGGGGAGGGCAAGTCGACCGAACACCCAGAGAGTATATTTCTATTAACTATATATTCTTAGGTTAACTATTTATGGTTAATATTTTACTAAAGATGGTAAGAATGTATAGCAGAAAAACTACTCGTTTGAAATTGAATATGCTAGGTTCTGTGTTGTCCAAGAAAGATCTTTTCTGTAGAGATTTATGATTCAAGAAATCCAAACAAAAAACAAACAAAAGAATATTCTCAAAAGGACCGGGAAAGGAGTGCCCTTTGAGAATGAGCAAGAGCTGAAATTTAGTCTCAATTGAGCTTGTGGGCAAAACGTACTAAAGCGTGACTTACCGATACAAATCTTATTTCATGTAGAAAACAATTAAATTACATTTTGAAACCAAATACAAGTAAAGTTTCTCCTTCAAATATCCGCTATTAATAAATTGGGGCTATTCCGATGCAGGATCAAAAGGCTGTCTTCAAGATAAAATTTACCAAGATCATAGTAAATTTTAAGCTAACAGGAAGCATATATACAATTTCACTATATTTTATATAGGCTGTTCTTATATTTGAAACAATTAAACATTTCTTGAAAACTAAAGACTTAAATTATTTGCTAATAGAGGATTGTATAACTTATTTATTCATCCAAGTTACGTAAATGTTTATTACTGTTATATTTAGCGTTATATGAAGGTTTCATTTATTTCTGAAAACAGTTTTAAATAGATATTCTCTACTCTGACAAATATTACTAATCTTACCCAGAAGTTATTTTATAGGAATAACCATTCAATATTGCTATGACGATTGTCGATTCTTAAGTGTTTTACGCAGTGTCATTTTAAACCTATTTTTATGATGCTATACTTCATTAACAGCTTATCACCAGTAGGCTCATCGCTTAGTCATAAGAACTGACAATGAGCAATTTTAGTTACAGCGAGTGAGCAAAGAAAGAATAAAAGGATACTAATCAATGGATCAGAGAATATGCGAATTACTAAAAGTCTGCAATAAATAGCAGTGAATTTATTTAGGGGCGAACCATTTTAACACATTTTAGAAAATAGTCTAATGAATAAATACTTAAATATTTATAAACCTAACAATTGTTTAACAGGAATATAAAACGAAATTCTCATTTTTGAAAGAATTTCTAACGCAATGACACACGAACGTTACGTTTATCGAAAACAAAGCCTCAAAAATTTTAGAGACTGCGTTGTTTATATATAAAAACACATCGCAAAAGATTATTCTCATTAAAATAGTACTTTTAATAAGCATTTATTCTAGATCACTATACGTCATTCATATTTAAACATACGGTTCCCTTTTTTACCCTTGAAAGCATTCATTGCAATTTCTTTTTCAAGTGTTCCCCAAAGCAAGATTTAGTATGGATAGATTTTATAATTATCCGCGAGAAATATTATAATTTCTTTACAGCCATATAATTATAAAAGCAAGACGATTAAGGTAGGTTTTTTAAAAGTAATACTCTTCCAAACCTGAGGTAAGGGCACCGCTTTTAGTATAAACTGGAGCTCAAGAAATTCTTTCACCAGCACTGCTGGTGAAAGTTACGGAACAGTGAAGGAGCCCCTTACTACAATAATAAAGCCTGCATACGTGAATTTCAGATAAGAATGATAAAGTAATACGCGAACGAAATGCATGTACATTACGCGACGTAAAGCATTTAATCCAAGTAAAAATTCTCTAAAATTGAAAGATGCACGTGAAAATTCTTAAAAGGTTACTATAGTCCTTAAATCTACTTACTAGTGGTATTTTACAGACAGAAACATTTTATATAATATTAGGAAGCTAACATGTTCGAGAATGTAGATCAAATTTTAAATAAAAAAATATCCGCGACATTTATTGCAAAACTGACGAGCACTAGCTTTGGAAGATACTTTTAATTTTCTTTAATTTTAAACTTTTAAAATTTTACTGAAAACAAAGGCAATTTTTAAAAATCACATAATGAAATTGTTAAAACACCGGATATAAATCCTGAAGACTCATTTTCGATATGTTGAACTGCTTGGTTTCTTTGTTTTGAGATATTGTGCCTTTGCACGAGACTAAAAATTTAGTTTATTTTTATGAAGTATGGCGACCGTATTTAGGCAATGCATATAAAGTAAAATAGAAAAATTTACTTTACCATTGACTTAGTTAAAGCAAAATCCACTGAAGTTTTCAGAATTAAAATGTAAATAGTTCATGTATACAGCAGTTGATATAGTCAAGCAATTTTAATAACAAGCATCAAAATAAACTACTAAAATGATTTTAGTTATAAAAATTGTTTCACGTTTAATATTATAAGTTTCATAAATTAAGTTTACAGATATTTCCAAAAACAGTTTTCATTCGGCACTTTTTAAACGTTCGTAATGACAAACTAGTTTAACAACGATTTGTTTAATACAATGTTAACATTTAGTTTGGTTTGATTACAATTTTAAAAAACCCTGTATTAACCTTAAAGGACAGAACCATTATTAAAAATGTTTTGACCTTATTCCTTCACTAATCCAGGCTTCCTTACATTTTATAAATTAAGTTTGAGATTGCGGATTATTTATTATGAATAATTCATTACTTTAAGTAGTAAAATTTAGACCTATAGGAATTTAAATTTCTAGATTTATACACATTTTACGATGTTGATAAAACGAGTCTCAAATTTTAGATGTTAAAATGGAATATTTACCATTTCTTCAGGTAATTTTTCGACTAGAAGTTGTAGCATTGTTCTACGGATATCGACTTCGAGGATGTCTTTGGGAAGATTTCTGATTACCTCTGTCCAAATGTTCATTATTGTGAGGGATCTGTCAATCAATTCTCGAGGAATATTCTTCACATACATGTCCACAATAAAAGCTTTCTCAACTTTCTTTGGCTAAAAGTAAATTCATAAAAACCTTATTTTACTACGCTATCATGCCTAAACATTTACCAGGTTTTGGTTAGATTACAAGAAAAAAGTGGTTGAGAAAACTTGGCAGAGTTAAAAGTAAACTTTTAATACACTTTTGCTCGATTGAAAGTTAAATTTATTGATAAAGTGGGATAAAACTAATAAAGCTAGAGCTAAAAATTTTAAAAAGGTTTAAGCAAAAGTGCCAGAAAAATATATTTTGCTCGGTATTTACTTTTTGTAGAGTTAATTCCAGGAAATTCTTTAATTTCCTTAAACAATTTTTCCAAGACATTAAAATAGACATGAATTTAATGACATGTCTAGACCTTTCGATGTATCTTTCGTATGAAACTTTTTCAAGAAAAAATTTTTTAGTCTACAACGTTCAAAATGCCTTAAGACATTTATTCCTTAAATAGAACTGACATTTATATTTTTATTTTCGTGTCTGAATACGCATGATCTGCTTCCTTCAAAATTGGGGTGAGATGAGACAAGGTATTCCCTTACACTCTGCGTATCGTAATTTCTCATAGTTTTCACTTTTATAAACAAACAGTACCTAAATTACAATACACTTGCGGTAGCAATAAATAATTAAGTTTTGAATAAATTGTAATCATCTTTTAAGCAATATTTTAAAATGAAATACATTGAAAATTCCCAGATGCTGAAATACACATAGTGAAGTATAAATCTCTAATTTAGCTAACAAACCTTGAAGCCACTTGGACCATAATATAATATAAAATTTTGATATCCTTGATATGTAACACAGTGCAAATTAAAACTTAATTGACCAATTCAGTTGTTCCACATAATCGAGCATGATATAGCTCAACTACGTAAGGTTGTAACAAATACGTATTAATGTTATGTCTAACACATTAACGTTTTAAACGAATATGTTGAAAGTTTACCAGCTTTTCAGTTATGAAGACGGGCAACATCCCTCAAAAAGAGAATGCCTCAGCACGGGTCAATTTAGTAGTCTGATGTAACAAAATGCTTAGTTGAGGAAAAATAAGAAAGATGTCCTTAACTTTTGCATATAATTCGTATATCTTACTTCCTGCAATGCAGCACTGATGGCAGTCGATCCTCCAAAACTGTGACCGACCAAAACAGAATCTTTGATATCCATACGATCCATGAAAGTGTAGAGGTCCTGAAGATTGTTATGGAAACTAGAATCCTTTGTAATCTCACTTTCACCATGGTTTCTGGCGTCGTAAGTAAAGACCTGGATTAAATAATGTTGATTACACTAAAGAGTGGGAATTATTACTTATAATAAAATATCCTTAATGATAAAGTAGAATTGTTTGCTTTTAATGCAAATCTGAAGGTACTAAAGACAATTATTACTATAAAGATTTGACGCACTAGTGTAGTACTTTAGATCAGAAAGTCTGCTAAAGCAATATTATAAGTGGGAAATGCAACAGTACGCTTTTGTTAGACAATTCCGATGGATTTTCCAATTCAATAAGTTTTTAATTTTGAGTTTACTAGAGTAAAATGGCAGAGAGGACGAAATCATTAAACAGTGTCTTAATGAAACGTTGAGTAATCAAGGTAAACGTCGAAATATTAATAAATTCTGACTTACGGTTAAACTCATATTCAATACATAACTAAAAAGAATGTAGACATGAGAAGTGCAATTGCATAGAATTAGAAACCTTCCACCCGTTCGTAAAAATGGACTTGTTGCTTTAAAACAAGCTATTGATAGGATTGACGAAGTAAACTTTTAAAACAAGTCAAACTTTTGGTATCGCAGTTATGATATTTAGATTTTTGAATGTTGAATAAAGTATTTTATTAAAAAATTAAAACCTAATCAAACTAGAAAAATTCTGGATTTGAGCTTGGACTTCCAGATGGCAAATCCGCTTTTAAGTAGTTTTCATTAAAACTCTTATTAATGTGGATAAACCCTTCCCTTAATTTATTGTACATTTAATGTGACAGAAACTTCAATAATTATTTCAGAAAAAATTAACAAACTTAAATTTAATAATTCTATTCGAGTAAAAACTGAATTGAAATAGGTTATTACGGGCAAGAACTATTAAGTTAAGAGTCAAGATTTTAGAAATAAAAGATTTAGTTTTATATTAAGCAAATTAAAAGTGCTTGAATATTAAGGTTATTAACTAAATTAAGCTAAGATTTTTTGTAAGATAGCTTATCTGAGAGGTCTACATGAATGTTTGAAGAGTATATAGAAGTTGTTTATAAACAGAATTGATTACTGATACAAATATATCGAGTAGTTGGAGTTTAAGCCAAAACAGTTAATATTTTGAGAATGAGCTTAGAGACTTAAATTTGAATTAATCAAATTTGATGTTAAAACTACCTAAATTTACTAATGCACTACCTAAATTAGACGTTCTACTAATTGAAGGTATAAATGTTTTACATATACCTTTCTCTTAGTCAATTCTGCCACTCGCTGAGGTATAGGGTCCCACACTTCCTTAGAGCACAACATGGAATGCATAAAAATCACAGGTGGCTTTCTCTTATCGCATCCACCAATAGCTTCAAACACACAATGGGCGAGCTTTACTGGTTGATATCTAGAAAAGTACAATAATTGAACTTAAATATAAAACATTTATTAATTAAATTTATAAAAGTCAAATAATTGGATTTTCAGATAAAATTTTCTTCATACGATAAATTCTGAAGCACTGCAAAAGGTAAACAGCAAAAAGTAAAAAACATTTCCCTAAAATTTCTAAGTATTATCGAGGCAAGTTTCAATTAATTTTAGTACAAATTTAATTGTATTTCAACGATACCCAATTTAAAATACAACATAAGAAATTAAAAGCAAAATCAACCATTTTTATACCTAGCCATTCTTCCAAGAGATGATTTCGTTCTTAGCTACAAGATAACATTGACCGCAATTTTCGCAACTTTAACCCATCTTTTATACTAGCATAAGGCTAAACGCATTGGCGTATATTCAGTGACAGTTACACCTTTATGTAGTGCATACACCATCCTTCCGTCAAACACTCAGAGGCATGAAGATATCTGGTTCGATTACCGCAACAAACTGAAGCTGAGAAGCATTTTTGTTTATCCTTTCTTGACCGTTGACCGTTGATGATGATGTGGGGGGGATCTCTGCTACTCGCTTTTATCCCCCTTGCTATCCTTTCTTTATGTAGTTCTTTTTTAAATCTAAGTCTTCTTCAGTGTGACAAAGAATTTTAGGCCTTTCCAGAATACAATATTACTGGTGAATGTTCGAAGGTTTTGCCCATTTTCCAAATGTTCTAAAACATGAAGGTGAAGGGTTCAATTCCAGCAGTATTTGTTTATCCATTCTTTGTGTAGTACTTTTTTTAATCTTTCTGTCTCCTTCAATATGGCAAGGAACCTAATGCTTTTCCAGAATACAATATTACTGGTATGTGTGCTAAAGTTTTGCCCATCTTCCAAATGTTCTGAAGCATGAAGGTAAAGGATTCAATTCCAGCAGTAGTTGTTTATCCTTTCTTTGTGTAATTCTTTTTTAAATCGTTCTAGGTCTCCTTAAATATGGCAAGTAATTTTAAGCTTTTCCAGAATACAATATTACTGGTGTATGTAGGAAAGTTTTGCCCATCTTCCAAATGCTCTGAAGCATAAAGGTAAAGGGTTCGATTCCAGCAGTACCGCTGAACTTTACTTTCATTCTGTCTTTGTGATACCCTTATGCGTCTTATAGCCTCGTTGTGAACTAATTGTAAATACATGATTCCCAGTAGGACACCGAAGTCAAGCATTACTGGCTGCCGTCAGTAGCAGTTTGGTGATCACTTTCCTTAGACTGCGTTGGGACCTATGATGCACGGTATCGGTGCTCTTTGAACAGGTCAAATGTGAAGTGCTCCTCTACTACAGGTGCAGGTCGTCGGGCTACCAAAGTCAGGGAGCTAACCCCACAGCATAGGATCAAAACTGTAATGGCTTGCCTTCGGATCATAATCTGCAATGTTTCCTAGATGGTCACCAATAGCCCATTTTGCAGCCCTAGTGCCACGGAAAAAAAGCATTCTACATACCTACCATTGTATTTTATGCTGTATTTGATTATTATTAAAATGTTTAATGAACTATTCAAGCACAAACGCCTACAAATATTTGAGTAAATAAATAAAACATAAAAGGCGTTACAGTACGGTACGGTATTTTCCTTTATGTCGTACTAGAGTTGCACGATGTGTTATTTCCGACGGTCCGGAAAAAGCGATCGCTAGAGATCAAGAGATAAAACACACACTTCACATACTGTTTTACACTGTTTACACATTCACACACAATCCATCCACAGATCATAATTTTAACCTGAACCAGAGCGCGAGCAATCTCCAATCCAGTGCCCCCAGAGATATTGATTTATCATAGGAACTTGGATGGTCCCTAAATTCTAATTGAGAACGACATTTTGGTTTAAGCTATTATTTTGTGCACTGTCTATTGCAGATAAGTGTATTATAAGCAATTTATGTCAATTTCAGTTTATGGTTAAGCATAAATTTATGTAAAAAATTATATTACTTTAACTTTCTTGCCAACTTCTTTTTCTCTAGAACATCAATGGATAAAGTGTATTGTCCTTCCTCCAAAATGGTCTGAAGCGTGGAGGTAGCATGTTCAAATCCAGTAACTTTGGATGCATCTCTGTGCCATCGTGTATTGTAATTTATTAAATTATATCTATTGTAATTTATCTAATTACATTTTATAGTTAATCAAGTTACATTTTATTTTTTCTCACACATAATTCTCAGTTGTTGTCAATTTACGTCGCACTAGAGCTGCACAATGGGCTATTGGCGACGGTTTGGAAAACATCCCGGAGGATAATCCGAAGACATGCCATCACAATTTTGATCCTCTGTGGAGGGCATGGCACCCCCGTTTCGATAGCCCGATAGCCTGAGCGAAGTCGAGCACTTTACAGTAGCACAGTTTAGCGAGGACCAAAACCGCACACCCTCGGTCCCTACACAGACTGATCCAAGTGGTCACCCATCCGCACACTGACCGTAGCCAGTGATACTTGACTTCGGTGATCTGCTGGGAACCGTGTCTTAATGATCAGTCCACTGCGGGACACGAAAAAGTAATTAATACAGTAGCAGAATATCGAATGAATTACAATAAAGAGTAAAGTGTCATAAATTTACATTAATGTTTTGTTAGATTTAAATCAGTCTACTATTTTGATAGCTCTGTTTCCGTAGCTATTTAGCAATGATCACGCAGTTGATTCAGCGTAGTTGTTTTGCAATGATCACGCTCCATATATATATATATGTAATGTTAAAACAATTATATATTAAATATAATCCATAAATAGAGCATTTATCTAACGCGCAAACGTTTAAAAACTTTTCCCACAAGAAAGTAATAATATTGATCTAATTATCTCAAAAAATGTGATGATGTGGCTTTAGCAGCTTGGGAAATTGATCAGTCCCACGCTACTGAGACCCATTAACATTTAAATATATTGTCCAGAAAGATATAAAAACCCTCTTTCCAAGGTCAAATGTGCTATTCTCTACCTATCCACCAGCATGTAAGGTTGTCATTCTGGGGCTCTGGCCCTTACTTTAATAAAATTATATTATGATTCCTG